AAGTAGAGAGTACAAATGCACYGAGAAAACYAYCCATAAAGAGCAATACAATSAAGTATTGAGCCRATGTCCAMGCCCGTAGGCCACACCAACACAGTATCCAGAGTCGCTCTCTCTGTCTGGCGCACAGCTCCCAGCCTACTCTACCATGCTATCCTACTCTACAGCTGGTTCACACAACAGGATCGCTTTGGCTCACGAAGACCAATGTACATGACTGTCAACACCATCGACGACCTCTCTTCATGTACCAGGTACGTAACTCGTCACCCTCAAGCAGAACTTGATTATCCCACACAGCGCCTCACTCCTTGAAGACCACCCTATCATCCGCTGTACCCCCTGGCGCCCAGCAGCCCGGCTATGGCTGCCTGCGCCCCGCTGCCCTGCAGCGCCCCACTACCCCTCTTGCGCTCCGTCAGAGCCCTTGGCAGCAGCGCAGCGTCAAGGCAATAGCGCAGCAGCACTTCCCCAATGCCAGCACTGGCCAGAATGCCTGGCCTGGGCTGCCTCACTTCCTTTATGGAAGTGGCAGCCTGCTGGATGCTGTGTGTGGCCTGCCTGGAAGCTTCCAGTAGCTTCCGGTTGGGCCTCAGACCCTGTGCCCAGGCCGAGACTTACAATTGAGGGCCTGGGCCCTTTACAGTTGGGCGCGGCCTGAGTCTCCGGACTTGGGCTGTTAGCCGCATCTGTGCAGGGCCCCCAGGTAGGTGTGTCGGCTGAACTGCTTTTCCAAAGTCCGACGGCCTGCTTCTCAATGTATCGGCCCTGCTTTGTGTGTAGGTGCCCAGGCACAACTTTCGTGGCCTGGGCCAACTGTACGGCGCAGCTTAGTGAGTATCGAGCGTTCACTCAACCAACTGACGCGCTGCAAGAGCCTGAACACCCACATATGGAAATGTCGAATTTGGCCTGTGACGAATATTCAGGCCCGCCTTCACTTAGGGTGGGCACTTGGCTTGCTGGGGCCTTGGCCCAGAACAATGTGATGTCTGATAGGGCCACTTGAGGGCTTGTTCCTCACATGGGGTTGTAGGGAATTTTAATCCCTACAACCCCATTTTTTTTTTTTTAGAAACAGATACTTTTTTGGAATTATAAAAAATGAAAAACAGAAAAGGTGGAGAAGAGAAATTTAAAAATAAAATTTTAAAAAAGTTCGTTTTTTTCTTTTTGGGATTTTTGGTTTGCAGCTATTTGTATTCTTCGTTTTTA